CGCGGCGGTGGAGGCCGTGGTGGCGGTGGTCGTGGAGGAGGAGGACGTGGTGGTGAACAGAGATGGTGGGATCCTGTATGGCGTGCTGAACGACTTAGGCAACAGGCAGCTGAGGTACTGTTTTAATCATCACTGGTTTTTGGTTCATTGCTCTAGCAGTTGTTAGAAATGTGTAAATATAGATGTATGGCAGCAGAAACCGAAGAAGAATTTAAACAGTGCGTACATGTGTTGCTATATTATCGAGATTTAGGCTAGAAGAAAAGGTGTAGTGTTTTGTAAATTTATAACAGGACAGAGGGAAGAATTTAGTTAGAGTTGTGACATAGGAAAAAAGTGTAAGGTACAGGATCAGAGTTCAATCACAACCAATTCATCACTTATAATAAAACTCATGGTTTTTGATTTGATCTTCCAACTTAATGAGGATGATATGAACTTCGACAGGAGGTTGTGGAGGACACAAATTACGATAGAAGTTTAGTAGGCTGTAGGCAGTATTGCATTGTCTTGTTGTCCATCCATACTAGTAGTCCTAGTATTACTCTTGTAGTTTTTTGTCCATAGATTTCTATTAGTATATGTTTCTTCTTGTACGTGAACTATCATATTATTTTGGTGTAGTACCGCTTTGTTACTATATGTTGTTTTTGTTACTATCTGTTTTTTTTGTACTTCCATTACTTATTTTTCTGGATTGCTTTGGACTGCTTTTTTCTTGTGCTAAGGGTCTATAGGAAACAACGAGGTAGGGGTAATGTACCTCACACCGGGTATGTTGTCGTTGTTTATAAACTTGTGATGTCTATGTTTATGCTTTTGTGAATACAATTCAAGTGATTGTTGGCGTCTTTAAAGTTTACATTGTGATTTTTGGTTGTAGATGGAGGTGATGAATGAGAATGAGTGGTGGGGGAAGATGGAGCAGTTTAAGAGAGGAGGCGAGCAGGAAATGGTTATAAGGCGGAATTTTAGTAGGGATGACCAACAGAAGTTGTCTGATATGGCGTATCAATTAGAACTTTACTTGTAAGTGGTTTGATCTTGAAGAGGAACTGTGGCTATCACTAATCGAAATTTGGTTCGTTGTCCTTTGTTTTGTATTCCATCAGAAACAACCTCTCTACCTCCCAAGGTAGGGGTAAGGTTTGCGTACGCACTACCCTCCCCAGACCCCACTTGTGGGACTACACTGGGTATGTTGTTGTTCTTTGTTTTGTAGTAAGCATGCGGTGTGCTTCCATTTCAATCATTATGAACTTAAATTTATCATTAGATGGAGATTACGAAGACAAAATGTACTTGAAATTTGAGTGATCTTCCTTCTATAGTGCATCAAGATGACAAAATATACAAAAGCAAAAGAATTCTTCAAAGATGTTTCTGTTGTGTCAAAACAAATTTACTTTTCTCTCCATGCGTGTCCTAAAGCTTTGAGAACTGAGAATTGTGAACACTGCATACATCCTCTATTCCCTTTTTTGGGTAAATTCATAAAACAAGTATAGGAAAAATGTGTAGGGAATTTGAGGAAAAAATTTGTGTTACGTTTCCCACAAATGAGATATGGTTGTGAGAGTGAAGTTAGTGAACTTCATATTGTAATATGCCTTTTGTATTTGTGATCTGTTAATCTTCATACAACTAATGGTTGCAAATGCACAATGAATCTAGTTGCACAATTTATTTAAGATGTACACCATTTAATTAATTCATTTCAAATCACGTGGAAGCAAGTTGTCACAAAAAGCCTACAATCTCTTACAATCCATGCAAACTTAGTGAAAATCGGGTATAATTGTAAAAAAAGATATATTTTAGACAATACTAATCAGTTGGATTAAGGCTTAGGCATGTTGGTAGCTTACTTTTGGCCCAGTGTTCACTAGGAGTCCTTAATCATGTTAGAGATTTGTATGCAAGTATTATATTGTCGGAGAGTCTAAATTATTGAATACTCGATAGTTGAGATTCATATGGCCGGTCTCAACTAGCTTCAGATTGAGGTATATTTTTTATTTTAAAATATGTAATTGATACATTTTTCCCTACCTTGAATTAATAGGATTTTGTAAGTAATTGACACTCAGAAGATGAAAAGCAGACATGTTACTTACACTTCTCAATGTATGGTAATTGCAATAACTTATGTGTGCTACTGCTACATGATATTTCCTTTTTTCCTTTGTTCAAAATGATGGAAGAAGAAACTAAATCTGGTAGATTAATCGGCCCCACCCTCTCATTTAAAAACTAAATTTTCTTTCCTTGTCGCTTCACCATTAAAAAGCACTATTTTATGGTGTTCATAGTAAAGTAAAGTGTTTGCTAACTGTCCTATCCATGCCTTCTGTATTTGCTGGAAGAAAGCCATGCTTATAACAAGGGAAAGGCACTTGTTGCAAGCAAAGTCCCATTGCCTAGCTATCGTGCTGATCTTGATGAGCGTCATGGATCTACACAGAAAGAGGTATAGTACTGCCATCTTACTTTTAGCTGGTGAGAATGTTCTTTCACTTATCAGTGCTGATGATTTGCTTGTGTTTCTGGTTTTAGTTAATGTATAACTTAACTGTAACCACACTAATGAAAGAATAACTAAACCGTAACCATGTCGCAGATTAGGATGTCTACAGAGATTGAGGAAAGAGTCGGAAATCTATTGAGTAGTTCACAGGACACAGTATCTGCTGGGACTTCCTCTTCAACATCTGGTAATTCTGCCAAATTATCATCCAAAGCTGTAGAAACAGCCAAACCCAAGTTGACTATAGAGGATGATACTGCCACCAAAACACTTAATGTGGAACTTAAACAGAAACAGGAAAAGACGAGGGTACAGTTTTTTCTCTCGATTTTATTAGTCCTTCATCTTATTTTTTTGGTGGTACTTTTTAGATTCAGCAGTTGAACTGTTTTTTAATTATTCTGCTAGGAAAGTGAAAAAGTCAAGGCAATGATCTCATTCAGAGAAAAACTTCCAGCATTTAAAGTGAAATCTGAATTTATGGAAGCTGTTGCAAATAATCAGGTGAGATATCTGTAAAAATTACTTCTGTGACAACAATGCATGATGTTTCAGTTAATTCTTTTTTTCCAAATTTTCAATCCTGCTGATTGCACATACAACTTTACTTAACTCTAACTCTTGCAATATGCACTTAGAAACAACTAGCATCTTAATGCAAAATGTGATGAAGAAAGTGTGGTGAATTGCCATGTCTACATGTATTTGGTGTACCGTATGGAAGGAAAGGACTGCTAGATGTTTTGAGACAAAGCTAGTCCAATTCAGCAAATAATGTTTAAGTGTATACTTCTGTTT